GCAGCCTGCAGCCCGCACCGCCCCCTACACGCCCTCCCGCTCGTGCCCGCAGGCGCGCGCACGCGCTGCCCCATCTCCGGGGCTTCGCTACCTCTCAGCGCCCGGGGCGCGCGCTCCTCCTTCCCCGCCTGCAGACGCAGGCACGCGCACCCCCGACCCCTCGGAACCGCTCCACGCCTGGACGTGCGCGCGCGGTGGCTCACACCCCGGCGGCCGCCGCGTCCTCCCGGGAGCCGCTTTCCCGCCCTCGGCGCTCTCCGCGCTTTTCCCACTTCGGCGCGGACGCCCCACGCTGCAGCGGCGCAAACGCATCTGCCGCGGGGCCCGCCCTTTGCAACATCCGTCCCTCGACACGCCCCTTCCAGGAACGGCAGCGCTCGCCGGCCGCTGGTGGCGCGCGCGCCTGGGTCCCGCACCGCCCCTGCCCGGGTTCCTTCGCGCCCGTGGCCCGAGCGGCTTCCGTGTCTCCAAGCCGGGAAATTTAAAAACTGAAATCGGACAGACAACCCGAGTCACCTCATTGCGCTCCCCGCCAATCAGGAGGCGGGATGTCTGCTTGGCAAGAAATGGCCGCTTCGCCTCGCTTCTCGATTCGGAGCCGCAGCAGCAAAATTGCCGAGACCGCTGCGCGCCGGCCACGCGAGCTGAGAACGCGGCGCGGCGCTGGCGCCACCGGATCGCGGGGCGCGCAGTCAGGTAGGCGGGGCCGGGCCAGGCGCCCCTTCCCCCTCCGCTCCTGGGATCCCCACGGCGGCCCGGCGAGAACCGAGCCCGCTTTATCCACGCGGTCTTTTTATTTTCGCTTTTGACCCGGCGAAGCATCGGAGCTTTTCTTCCTCTTTCCCCCGCGCGGCGCCTCCCCTAGGGCTCGGGTCTCCGGGTCCCTCGGTCCCTCGGCTCGCGCTGGCCTCTGAGCCGCCGCCGCCCGGCCTCCCGCCGCTGCAGCCTCCCCGGCGCGCTCCCCTCGCTGTCCCCATCACTGACCTTCGGGGACCCCTCCGCCCCCCGGCCTCCGCCTGCCACGGTCCACTCGGAACAGGAAGGCGGGGAAAGAAAGGAAGCCGCGGGCTTCAGGAGGGTGAACGGAGGACACGGCGGCAGTGGCCCGGGGGCGGCGAGGAGCCGGCGGAGCGCATCTCTCCCGGACGAGCCCGTGGCGCTGGAGCGCGAACGCGGGTCCGCGGAGCCCCGAAAACGGGAAGTCGAGCCCAGGACGCCTTTTGGGACGGGCGGCGCTGGCCGGGTGCGTCGGCCCGGGGCCTGCGTGGAGTCCGCGGTGGCACCCGCCCCGAGGCCTGGCGAGCGGGTGCAGAAGGTGCCCAGCTAGGCCCAGGCTGAAGGTCCAGGGCTTGGGCCTCGCCTGGCAGTGGCTTCCCGGCTGTGCCCGGCTCTCCCTCGTGGCCTAGCTGTAGACCGAGACCGCAGCGGGAGAGCCGCAAGGCCCTAAGGTCGGGCGCCCCGTCCCTATCCTTAGGGAGCAGGAAGCAGGCCTGGGTGGGGCCCCCCACCACCTCGTCATGGGCCGCTCACAGCCAGGGTCCACACTCCCCAGGCTTGCGTAGGAACCCTGGTGGCCTCGCAGGGAGCGAGTTACCGACCCAAAAGCAGGCAGTTTGAATCCCCCAGCTGCTTCTGGGAGATAGATTGGCAGTCTTTTTCTCTGCTATTTACAGCCCTTGACAACCAGCTGGAGGGTCAGCTATGAACTGCCCCAATCTCGTCTCACCCAGGGTGACCTCATGTGAGCGGAATAGAATTAATTGCTGCGCAGGGGAATCTTTGAAAAGCAGCTGCCAGGCCAGCTGATCCAGGCACCTCTCCTCGGGGTGTCTGGATCAGCCTTCCCATAACTATTTACCAGTTCAGGAACTAGTAAAGAGATCTGTGTAGATGTGTGCGTTGGCAGGATTCCCTCCACCAAATGTGCTCGCCATCACCTCTCTGTTTATAAAGAATGTCTTCTCTCCTCCTTCGCTAGGTTGGCCGCACCACCGTCATTTGTCAGGTCCCTCTGCTCAGAAGTGCACAGTACAAAGCTTACCCAGAGTGCTTAACAGAAATTGTCTTGTTTGTTTACAGACTTGGCGCACTGTCCCCATAGAAGGTTATAAGCAGCCGTGACTTCTCCCCAAACCTCATAGGGTAGCCGGACTAGTAAAAACAGAATTCAAACATGTTTTCCTGGAGCCTAGAGGAAGGGCCCTTGGGGAAGAGGGTTAGTCCAGAGAAATCATACTGGCAGGCATAAGCTGTCTGATGCCGGGTTAATATTTAAGGAGTGAAGCGTTGCCTGGACTCGGGGCAGGGTAATTTGCTGTGACCATAAAACTATGGTATGTTCAGCAGGGAGAGGCCTCTGTAATATTTCTCTTCAAATTTATTCCCTCAGCCTGCTGGAACTGCTGAACCTAAATTTCCCAGCTGAGTTTAAACTCCAGAACCTTCTGTATTGATTGAACCTGTGTAGTGTACCTCCATAATCATTTCCTCCTTACTCAAACTTGACTCTGAGGAGTAGGGGAACTTGCCACTTCGGCAGAGGGAAGCCATTTGAATAAGGGCAGGAATATACAGTTAAGTGTTCTTCTGTTTTATCAAAGTAAGTTTTCAAATCTGGGCTTTTACATTCCATCTTGGTTTTCCCCTGCTGCCTAACACCTGTGTTCTGTCTGTTGTGGTATGCAGGGGAATTCTGCCCAATTTTAATATTAGTGGAAGCAAAAATACAATTAGGAGGATGAATATCACAAAAACAGCTAGTGTGGTGTTCCAGAAAAAAGTACTTTGGGCTGCTATTCAGTCTTAAAAAAAATTGTGATCAAGAATTGAATACGACAATGTGTGTACACTTTCACTTTATTGTATTTATTTTAACCTCACCGCAGCCATTTAAATTGGAGATTCTTATGCTTATTTTACAGGTGACACAATTGAGGCCCATTCCCTACCATCACTTCTAGCTCTTGGTGACCCCAAGTGTGTCAGAGAGGACTGTCCTCTAGGGTTTCTGATGGGAGATGTTTGAAAATTAGATTGCCAGGCCTTTTTTTCCTCTTCTTTTCTTCTGGACTTCAGTTTTCAAGTTTTCTGTTATCTGCTGAATTAACAGTGTGAATCACCCAGGGACTCCAATCCATTGCCAGGCCTTTTCTTCTTTTCTTTTGGACTTCAGCTTTGAAGCTTTCTGTTTTCTGCTGAGTTCATTAACGGGTGTGAGTCACCCAGGGACCCCAATCGATTGCCAGGCCTTTTCTTCTGGACTTCGGCTTCCAAGGTTTTGTTTTCTGCTGAGTTCATTAACAGTTTGAATTATCCAGGGACTTCAATCGCTTGTCAGGCCTTTTCTTCTTTGCTTTTGGACTTCAGCTTCGAAGCTTTCTGTTTTCTGCTGAGTTCATTTCTGTTTTCTGTGAGTCACCCGGGACTCCCCTTGAGGCACACCAAGGCCTAAATCTTGGGTTCTTCCTGGATAACAAGTTCTAGAGCTGAAATCATCAAGAAGGCCTTAGAACGGTAACTCTTCCTGTCTTTTCTGCTCTTTCTGTTGTATCTCACAGGCCAGAGTGAACGAGGGAGTGCTAGCTGTGGTTACCCATGCAGAGAGATAATCAGTCACCTAGCAGTGTCTTAAATAACTGACAATTCTTTGAATATTTGGATGGAGGGAACTTATTTTCTGATTAGGATTGGCAAATTCATTTTATAGGCGGAGAGAGGAACTTACTATCTTCTCTCCTATGCCCTCTCCCCAGCCACCCTCACCCTTGCACCACTACCTTTATTCCTCAGTATTCCCTGAAATTATTAAAATGTCCTGAGAAACATTTTTAACATTGCAGATGCCACACTCCAGACCTGAAAAGCATAAAACAAAAGTCACCATAAGCAAGATTAAAATAAATATTTGCATGTAGCTGACAATATATTGATTTCTAGAACATGTAAGTAGCTAGACAGTTCAGTAAAACAACTGAAGACTACAAAGGCAGTTTATGGTAGAGAACACACAGATGGTCAAGAATAAAAGGAAAAGATGCTCAGTTTCATTAGGAAAGAGATGTAAACAGAAATAGTGATATATACCAAAAAGTGTTGGAAATGATAATTATTGACAGAGTTGTGAGGAAGCACTTTTTAATTTTAAACACTGTTTTACTTGGTGCAATTATTTTGGGAGACAACTTTATGACATCTATAAAAACTGTTGTATATGTACCCTTTGACACATTAGTTCCATTCTTATGATTCATATAAACATGTGAATATGTACAAATATATGAGGCCGTGACATGAGAGATATCATTGCTGATGTCAGATGGATCCTGGCTGAAAGGAAGAAGTACCAGAAGAATGTCTATCTGTGCTTTATTGACTATGCAAGGGCGTTTGTGTGGATCATGACAAGTTGTGGCTGACATGGAGAAGAATGGGAATCACAGAACATTAGATTGTGCTCATAAGGAACCTATACCTAGACCAGAAGGCTGTTGTGTGAATGGAGCAGGGGAGCACTGCATGGTTTAGAACTGAGAAGGGAGTGTGTTGGGAATGTATTCTGTCTCCATACCTGTCCAGTCTGTATGCTGAGCAAATTATCTGAGAAGCTGGACTCTATGAAAAGGAGATTGTCATCAGGATTGGAGGGAGACTCGTCAATAATCGGCGTTACGTAGATGACACAGCCTTCCTTGCTGAAAGTGAGGAGGATTTGAAGCACTTGTTGGAGAAGATCAAGGAATGCAGCCTTTAGTATAGATTGCTTCTCAGTATCAAGAAAACAAAGATTCTGACCACTGGACCAATAGGCAGTGTCATGATTGATGGAGAGGGGATTGAAACTGTCAATAGCTTCACCTTGCTTGTATCTATAACTAACATACTTGATATA